CTGCCTGCCCCACGCGGGAGGCGTTCCCCGAGGCCGGCTGCCCCTTTCGGTGCACAGCCGTGGAAGCGCCCTCCTGGGCCCGGTGAGAAGCACCGCCGGGGCCTGACCTGCTTGGGGCCGGCTGGGAGGACATGGGCAGGTGCACGTTCTTGTTGGCTGGGCTCTGGTGAGCAGCTGGGCAGGCACAGGACACCTGCTGTCCAAAGGCCGGAGGCAATGGTGGGGAAGGTGGCGGGTCATGGCATTAGTGGAAGAGTAAATACAGGGCATAGGTCAGGTGTAAGTCTGGTTATGTCTAAGACACCAGTTGCATTGTCCTCTCAGATGTACTTCTTCAGGAATCGGTGCGAAGCGAAACACTCCGTTGTGCCACACAGCAGCTGTCTGCCTGCGTGATCTCCCCAAAATCAAGGGGCCTGGGCCTTCGATGTCTGGGAGAGCCAGTCGGTTTTAAGAAAGCAAGTGTTTTCATGTATGACCACTCATCTACCAAGAGATCACCCTGCCCTGCGTGAACATCTGACAGAGGCGCCACAACCGGCCCAGCCCTGTTGCTCTGTGCAATCCTAGCTGCATCTGATTTTAGTTACCTCGATTAACAAAATGTTAATATTTTTATTAAATGTAGTTTTAAATAACGTGTAACTGACGTTTCTGTCCACAAGTACTGATTGTATTGGCAGTGTAACTCATGACTTTGCTTTTGTTTCTGTTCGTACAAATGTTTCCCATGTGGTTAGGTCTGGCCCTTGCTGGAGGTTATTTTTAGGATGATTTTGTTCTCTTTATTTTAAGTGTGTGCTAGACTTCTGAAACTTCTTTTGGCGCACAAAGCCAGTGCTACAGACGGTGTATAAACTAGGCAGCTTAAAACCTGTTGACCCAGTCAGCTGCACGCTAGCACGACATAGCTGTAACCTTAGTTTCAAAACCTAAAGTGGGAAGTCAAGGAGGTGTAGGCTCCAAACATGATGCCTGAGCTGCTGGTTTTGGTGTTAATGTTTAAAATACCATTCTGATGGCCACCTCCGATTTTGTCCAGAGATGAATCCCTGAGGCCTACAGTATACCAGATGTTTGGGGTTACTGGAGACGAAGAGCATTTGTTCTTAGCTTGCTGTATGGGTGACGAAGTAGAAATTCATACAGATAAATGCTGCCCTTAGATTTCTCTTTGAATGTCTAGCTGTTTTCTGAGGTGGAGGCTGCAAAGAAGATCTCTGCAGCTGGTGTGGACACTGTGAAACCAGCAGCTGTGCCTTGAGGTCACGGCTCTCAGGCAGGCACTATATTGGGTGTCATTCACTGACTTCTCATCCTTACCCTCCTCCTCTAAGGAGCACAGCACATGCAAGATGAGCCAGGTGGTGCTTTCCTGAGAAATGAGAGTTACAAGCACATCCATGCCATTAGCAAGGCTCTAGCCAGACGTTGGCAGCTGCTTGTGATGTCTAGAATGCTTCTTGCTCCTGCCCTCGTTCCTGTTTGGAGCTTGCTGTGAGGTGGTGGCACCCTTGATAGCAACCCAATGGGCTGCAGGAGCCGATGGCTGAGTCTGCAGGCCTTGCCAAAATAGGCTGGGACAGGTGCCATGTAGCTAACGCGCTTTCCTTGGTTCTGTGACAGCTTGAGCCATGCAGTCATGTAACGTGGACATGTAACCACGTGTTACACCATGGCGTAACCATGGACAGTGAGAACTCAGGTATTTCTCTGAGATCAGGTTACTAGCAACTCTTTCATGTATACCAGCAAATGCCTTGCAGAGCTTCTGCATGCTGCAACAGCTGTGCTTCAGACAGGATGGCTGGCTGGCTGTTCTGGTAGCTGCCACCTCATGGTAGCAGTTCATTACAGGATTAATCGCAATATTAGGTCTATTGCTCTGGTGGCGCAGGTGGTGTTGCCTTTTGCCTGACAAGAGGCATGCTGAAGTAGGGAAAAATACTCCAGCCTTCACTGAGGTGCAGATCAGGCCTGTATGGCCCAGTTGCATTACTGCTCTCCTTGTTCTTCCCTCCTTCTGCCTCTGTCACCTTCCCTTACCATGCCATCACAGCGTAAGTGCAATATGAAACACGACATCAGCAACACTGTTTTTTTGGGAGTCTTTTCTGGCACATTGGGAGGTCAGAAATTGCAACTATCAGTTTGCTGAAGAGTGTCTGAGTTTGCTGTTCAGAAGGTGGTCCGAGCAGCATTGCAGGGTTTGTGTGGGAGAGGGACCTCTCCCACCATGAGCAGTCAGAGGCACTGGATTTTAGGAGAGCGCAAGCCCTGCAAGAGCACATATAACCACTGGGGGGGACTCCAGGTCTGGGGAACTGTTGTACATCTGGCATAGTGTGTACTGTACTTGCTTTTATGTTTTTACTTATATTCCTAAACACTTTTTTCAGTAAATCTGCAGATCCACATACAGGAGATGTAAAGCTCCTGCCAACTGTGTATATTTTTTCCTGGTTCCATCTTGTGTACACATTTAAAATAGTCCATGTAAACCAGCATGGGTTTTGTTCTTCTGACTGACTTGCAGACTTAGGCCTGGAGACAGAGTTCAGTGCCTAGTGCATGGTCTTATTACAATAAAAAATGAGGAGGTGGACTGGCCAGCAGCTGTGTGTGGATAGCCCTGAGTGTTTGCCTTAGTTTGTGAGGATGTCTATGTTGATTCACCCAAGCTCCACTAAACTACATTCCTAACTTCTGACTGATGGCAGTGTAGTTGGCAGGTTTTCAGGTTGCTAGTCTCCTCTGACTAGATGTTGATGCTCTTGCTTGCAACCCTGAAATTTCATGTCTATCTTGCACATCTGTTACTAATTGGCTTATTTTTGCCTGATACTGGATGACTGCTCTTGTAGCCAGTGTGATGAACGAGTAGCTACCCCAGGCTTCCTGCAGTGAGGTTTAAGTAGATAGTGGTGTTGCCTGTAGCTCTAGTAAAACATGACAGGTAAAGTATGGTGAGATGTGAATCAGTATGAGAACATTTTGGATAGGGTGCAAGTTTGAAACGCAGTATAGGCGGTGCTCTTTTGAAAGTTACAGTAAGGGGGGTGTCATGTTTTCCTGTTGTCTTGGAGCAGTCACATAAATATTTTTCTTTTTTTCTATAAAGCAAAAGCTGGCAGGCTGACAAACGGGCAGCTTACAGGACGGACTCTCTGGCTACTGACCATTTAGCTGGTAAGTTCTTATTTTGGGAGAGCCCAAGATCGTGCTGTTGCTGAGCTTGCTTATCAAGCCCATCAGAGTGGCTTTCTGAGTGTACCCCTAAGTCAGTGGGAGTTCAGGCACTTAAATAAGTCTTTTTCAGGAAGAGGCAGCATCCCAGGCCCTTTTTGTTTTCTCTCCAGGGTTACACAATGGTCTTGGACTGACTATCCAGACCTTTGGATACTCATTTAAAAATTGCACACCATTAATAAATGATAGATTAATTAAAGTATGCCTTAACAACTTCTGGTGTCCCCCTTTCCAGTAACCTTCTTAGGTTGCACATCCTCTGGTTTTGGGGAACCACTGTGCTTTGAGAAAGTATCCCCACTGAGTTCCTGTCTGGTTCAACAAGAGAACTGGGCAGCTGATTGGCACTGTAGGTGCTTTTCAAGAGGCTGACTGGAAAAGTGCTCAGTAACACATACTTTGTCTTCCTGGAGTGACCTCTGTGCATCTCGAATGGTGTTGGTAATAGTGCTGCCACCTCTGTCTCTTCCAGTGGCATACCCGGATTGTGTGTGGGTGGGAAGTCGACAATGAGCTCCGTGGCAGTTTTGACACAGGAGAGCTTCGCTGAACACCGCAGCGGCCTGGCTCAGCAGCAGGTGAAAGGTGAGAAAACACAGTTGAGTTCCTGTGATGTGCCTCTAAATACAGACTGCACAGGCAAGGTTCTTTGCTGTTACCCAAGCTCACTCCACGCATCCGGTTTCCCACAAGTGTGCAGATGTTGCATTCTCCGTTCCTAGATTGGTGGCCTGCCAAACTCTGGCTTTCCACCAACAGCAGCACAGTGGTGATGCTGCACAGTGCAGAACCAGGAGGAGGCAACCCTCAGATCTCCACAGAGCTCTGGCTAGCAAGAGGTCAGCTGTGGGATGGGCCACATGCAAGAGTGGGGCATTGGGCTACAAGAGAGCGTCATGGGATCAGTGTGCTGGGCTGTCATTTCCTTCCTTTGCTCAGCCAGGTGCTGGGGAAAGTCAGTATGACTGTATTAACTGACTCACTGATGGGTTTCGGCACCCATCAGCTGCAAGCTGGCCCACTTGGCACAGCCCAGTGCACAACTGAGTTAACATAAGGTACAGGTTTTCCCTGGACTCTGCCCTAACTGTAGTGCTTCTCTCTGCCTTCCACCTGGGTGTATGTTTGTCTTCTCACCCTCTGACCTGCAGCCTTGCTCTGTTCCTTCCATTTCTTTCTGCCCAGCCTGTTCTCCCCTAATTAAGCCCCTCTTGACAAAGTTGGCAGTAATGTGCTGTTTGCTGCCACCGTTCACTTGCATGTTCACTTCCTGCGTCTGTAGTGCCTGCTCAGACGAGGCTGGTTGTTCATGGCATCTACTGCAGTCTGTGCTGTGCTGAGGTCAGTTGTGCTCCAGACTTGGCTGCTCCACAAGCATAACTGTAATAGGATTAATAGTAGTGCGCGAGTCATTTGCTCTCCCTTGTTAGTGGTGCCTAAATCCAATTGCACTGCCTATGAATAGGGGCATTTCTGTGGGGAGAGCATCTCATTTACCCTGTTTGCTTCACCCCAGTTACAGCTTTAAACTCTGAAGAAGAGAATGATCCTCCAACCTACAAGGAAGCCTTCCCTCCGCTCCCTGAGAAAGCACCATGTTTGGAAGCTGCCCAGGAACCTGCTGGGCCCTGGAGCAAAATCCGACCAATAAAGGCTTCTGTCATCACTCAGGTTGGTGGGAGTGGGTGTCTTATCTCCCTCCTTTTCCTCCCTCCAAGAAGTAGGTGAAGTGAAGCTTTCCCTGGAGCATGAAATCCTTAGTGTGTCAGATTGACAGCCTCTTTGCTGTACTTTCCCCTGGTGCACAGAGGACTGCAGCTGAGAGCTGGGACTGTTCTGGAGGGGAGGGATGTGTTGGAAAACTGTCCAGAAACAGCTCTGCATCCCTGTTCCACAATAGGCGGCCAAGAAGGCCAATGGCATCCTGGCCTGTATCAGAAATAGTGTGGCCAGCAGGAGTAGGGAAGCGATCGTGCCCCTGTACTCAGCACTGGTGAGGCCGCACCTCGAATACTGTGTTCAGTTTTGGGCCCTTCACTACAAGGAGGACATTGAGATGCTGGAGCATGTTCAGAGAAGGGCAACGAAGCTGGTGAAGGGTCTGGAGAACAAGTCTTATGAGGAGCGGCTGAGGGAACTGGGGTTGTTTAGCCTGGAGAAAAGGAGGCTGAGGGGAGACCTTATTGCTCTCTACAACTACCTGAAAGGAGGTTGTAGCAAGGTGGGTGTTGGTCTCTTCTCCCAAGTAACTGGTGAAAGGACGAGAGGAAATGGCCTCAAGTTGCGCCAGGGAAGGTTTAGATTGGATGTGAGGAAAAATTTCTTCACCGAAAGGGTTGTCAAGCACTGGAACAGGCTGCCCAGGGAAGTGGTTGAGTCACCATCCCTGGAAGTATTTAAAAGACGTGTAGATGAGGCCCTTAGGGACATGGTTTAGTGGGCGTGGTGGTGTTGGGCTGACGGTTGGACTCGATGATCTTGGAGGTCTTTTCCAACCTTAATGATTCTATGATTCTATGATAGCTGGAGCAGGCCTGAAGGGAGGATTGCAGAATTCAAGTAGTTAGCGCTAACCCATTAACGTATTCCCCCCATAGCTTAGCACTTTGCCTGCCTGACGTACTTTAGAAAGACACCCAAGGTGGGACAGACTGCGTGCTGCAGTGCTCTTGCACTTTGCCTGGTTGCAGCTGGTGCAACCACTGGAAAGGCTGATGGGTTGCACAAACCTGGGAACTTAGTATGCCAGTAAAGTCCTGTATGGCAATAAAGGAGGGAGGCACTGGCAATCAAAAGCATACTGATTGCTTGCTGTGCCCTTTTATCTGTCCTATGGCTGAGCAGGTGTTTCATGTGCCACTGGAGGAGAGGAAATACAAGGACATGAATCAGTTCGGAGAAGGAGAGCAGGCCAAGATCTGCCTTGACATCATGCAGAAGACAGGAGCTCACCTGGAGCTGTCTCTCGCAAAGGACCAGGGCCTTTCGATCATGGTCTCTGGCAAGCTGGAAGCAGTCATGAAGGCTCGGAAGGAGATTGTTGCTCGGCTGCAGACTCAGGTGAGGGTATCTAACCGTTTCTCACTTCATCTTTGCTCTTCCCCGAGACTCGCAAATGCTTTGAGACCCTTGGGCGTGTGTGCTTATAAGCCGAAGAGGTGTTATTAGATGACTAATTCAGCTTTGCCATATATTTTCAAAGCACACAATTGGCAATTTGGAATGCAGATGAGGCTTAAAATAGGGTTCAAAGCTAATTACAGGCCATGGTGTTGCATGAAGGGTGGAGTCTGCAATCTCTGAACACTTGAATTGCAAACAGTGACTTTGTGCTGAAGTGCTGGTGCCGGAGGGGCTGCAGGCCCCTCACACAAAGCTAGTAGTGTGTGAGAATGGGACTGTGCTTTCTCTGAAGTCCTTCAGAGGAGAACGTGGAGGGATGGGAGAAAGAAAAGCAGAGAAGAGGAAGTCCTG